GTGCAAGACAGTGTAGAACATCACCGTCCGGAGCAGACACGTCTCGTCATTGTGGAATCCCCCCACGGCATGGGTATCATGTCTTCTTACCCAGGACGATTTCGAAAGCAGGTGGGAACGTGTGTACTCGAGCACCAGCGTCGTATGCACGGAGGGAACCGGAAAGCGTGAGCTGTCTGTCCTTCGGGACATCCGTCAAGATTGGAACGATAAAGAGAAGATTATCATGGCATGGCCCTTGCGCGCAAGGGATGACACGCATCGATCGAGAAATGGTCCAAATTTTTAGGGAAAAAAACAAAGCAAGAAAGAAAGAAAGACAGAAAGAAATCGTGAGCTTCGCCCCCGCAGACGAGAGCGTGTACGCGATAGGAGTTGGGGGGGGAGGAACAAAGTACGTGCACTTCGGGAAAGCAAAAAGTGAGGATTGCTTGATTGTACCAACCCAGGGCGGGAAGACACGAGAGCGGAGCGGAGTTGTAGAGTCTGAACGTAATGGTCGGCTCCAAGCGGACACGCGGTGGATCCCCCGGGGAGGGGAGATAGCCACGCAATCAACTCCGAGAGCCAGCATGGCCGAGGAAGCTGCCACTTGGCCTTCTGATCACATGGATTGGCAAGCAAACGCTCGCCTGACGAAGGGTAATCTCGAGAAGAACTTCAAGGCGCTCGCTGTCCAGCCGGCAATTCTGCACGGATCATTGTCAACACGAAGCGAAAGTCCAGATCCGTGTGCAGAGAAGATCTCCAGCTGCCTGGCTCAAAGAACACGGACAAGTGGAGCCTCGGAGTCCCTTCTCACGGCTGCGCTGAGGGATGGCTCACTCTGTACGTGCCGAGCACAAGAAGGCAGCGAGCTTGGTAATCTGCACTGCGTTGCCCAACCACCCTGCCATCCCCGCGGTTCATGCCGCGCTCACAGTTGGTCGTCAAATAAATACCCGCCTGGGTCACGTAGTTTGCAGACAACTCAGAGAGCAGAGCCCATCCATCGGCGGGAGAGAGAGAGCCCTCAGACTTCCGCGGTCCCGAGTCCTGACGCAAGTCGCTCTCAGATGATTGATGCATCTGTGCGTGCGTCCTCGGTGATGACCAGAGCGTGTGAGGGACACCGGCGGAGGGCCCCCTGTGAAAGGGCAGGAGACTGAGGAGAGACGCAGATCAGAGCAGAGGGAGTGAAAGCGCAGCCAGCCTGCGCGAGGAAGTGCGAGGCTTTCTCTCAGATAAGCGTTGTGTGTGGTGTGGTGGAGAGCGACATACTTCACCAGGTTCACCTGCACCTGGTCACCTCCTCCCGCTCAGTTGCTCCTCGACTGGGATGCATAGCAAGGCTGGCTTCCTCCTTTCTTCTTCCTTCTCCATCATCTACGTATCTTTGGAAGCTTCTCACTTCAAGTTGGGTATCAAGCTCAACGAAGCTGCGCTAGCTCAAGGTATATACTTCAGTTACTTAACCATAGCTGCCGCCAGCCTGCCGGTATGTGTTAAGCCAGCTTGACTATCGAGCGAGCTCGTTGTCGCCCTCAAGCTCGCCAGCTTCAAGGAATTCGCCGAGAGAGAGGTACTGCCAACGGCATTGCTCGTTCTGACGGGTCGCCTGCCGTCTTTTCAGCAATCCAAGAGAGACAGAGAAGCCTCTTGTGACCCCGATTCTGCACCGAACTGGGGCTTGAGAGAAGCGGATCCTTGGTCGTGTAGGCTCACTCGGGTGAGAGAGAGAGAGAGAGAGAGAGAGAGAGAGAGAGAGAGAGAGAGAGAGAGAGAGAGAGAGAGAGAGAGAGAGAGAGAGAGAGCAAGTCCGGCAGTCGGCCGGCTGTCGCCGCTCCGGCAGACATCGATCGATCATCCATACAGAGCTTTGTTCCTGCTGGGGCAGCAGCACCGGTGAACACCATAGCAGGCAGGCAGCACGGCGGTGCCACGGTGTGCACGCTCCCAGACCACGACCATCAAGACTACGGCTGGTGAAACAGACAAACAGGCCTCGGGGACTAAGTCAAAATCAAGCCGACGGCGCCTTGAAGTTTCTTCCGTCAGATCTGGCTCCAATCATCCATCTCTCATTGACAACGAAGGCGGATCGTACTCTGATCTGATCTGAGCTGAGCTGATCTGAGCTGAGGGGCGATCTGCCCACTGCGTGCCGGACCCCTTGCCAGCTTGCTAAGCCTCGCGGCTGACAGAGAAAGCCAGCACACAGGGCTGTGTGCGAGCGAAACGCTGCCAACCATGGCTGCGGCGATCGCGAAGAAGAGGGCTCTGCAGCTGACGAACGTTCTAGAAAACGGGGAAACCGAGTTCAACTTCGGCTACGCCAAGAGGATGAGCGACGGRAAGGGAATCRCGTTCGGRTGCCTGAGGTGGAGGACAGGATTTGGAGATGGGYTGTCTATCATCCAGTCGTAYGCTCGGGCGAAGCCGGGAACGGCGCTGGCCAGGTACTTGCCGGCGATGGAGGCGATCAAAAGGAGCAAGGAGCCCGGCAAGCTGACGGGGATGGACGGGTTCGAAGCGGCGGTGTCCCAGGCGGCAACCCGGGATCCCATCTTCAGATCCATCCAGAGAGACGAAGTGGACGAGCTTTATTGGCTGCCTTCGCAAGGTCGGGCGCAATCGCTGGGCCTGCGATACGACTTATCAAAGAGCCTGCTTTACGACACGTGGGTGCAGCACGGTCAAGAGGACAAGCCCGGTCGTGCCGCACTCGGCACAGACACGATCATCGAGATGACAAACAACGCCAAGTCACGTCCGGCAGGGCGAGGCGGAGCTGCAGAGCGCGATTGGGTGTTGGCATTCTTGGACAGCAGGCAATACGCCCTGGCCACTGCCCAAGGACTGTGGAGAAGCTGGAGATCGACGGTCAAAAGGATCGACGTCTATCGTCAGCTCATTGCGGCAGGAGCGTGGAACTTCGACCGTCCGATCGTTCTCGGTTCGCCAACACGGAGCAGCCACTCGTGGAACGTTGCGGAGAGCTCCTTCGGCAATCACTGCATCTCTTGAAATGAAATCCGAATGCGTCAGTAGTACAATGCCTATCTACCTGTACAGGACTACCATCATGATGGCACACACACACACACACACACACACACACACACACACACACACACACACACACACACACACACACACACACACACACACACA